TGGTCCTACATTAGTTTGCTTACGACGCATTTTTACGTACAAAAATATAGGGTGTAACAGGTAGTTGGGAATGACAGTCAGCTGAGGCAAGACATTATTCAACTATGGCATTACAGTTCTAGTGGAGGGCATTTATGAATGGAGAACACATATATAAGGATCTCTTCACTATTCTATTGGAAGAAACTGAGAGATGAAGTTAACAATTATGTGAGGAAGTGTGCAGTGTGCTAGAAAAGCAAGTATGATGCTACAGCTTCCTCGGGGCTACTTCAGCCATTGGCTATTCCTTACTCATCATGGTCCAACATTAGCATGGACTTTATAGATGGACTACCAAAGTCAAAAAGGGAAAATCATCATTTTGGTAGTGGTAGATAGGTTCACCAAATATGGGCATTTCATCGCTATCAGTCACCCTTATACTGCCACCTCTATAGCTCAAGTCTTTTTGGATAATATCTTCAAGCTCCATGGCATGCCGGAGAATATTGTCAGTGAGTGCGATCCTGTTTTCATCAGCAAATTTTGGCAGGAGCTATTTTCATTACACGGAGTCACATTGAGAACCTCATCAACCTACCACCCATAGTCGGATGGCCAAAGTGAGGTGCTAAATAGAACTGTTGAGACCTATTTGAGGTGCTACTGTTCAGATAGCCAGCAAGATTGGGCATTGTACCTTCCATTGGCTGAATGGTGGTACAATTTCACCTTTCATTCTGCAATCCAAACAACACCCTACGAAGCTTTGTATGGGCAGCCTACTCCCATCCATCTGCCCTATTTGGCTGGAGAAGCTACATATGAGGAGATAGACAAGAGCTTGATCAGGGAGTTCAAGACTCAATTGCTCAGGTTTCATTTACACAACGCTCAACAAAGAATGCAATCTCTAGCCAACAAAGGTAGAAGTGACAGGCAGCTGCAAGTAAGAGATTGTGTGTACTTAAAAATACAACCTTACAGGCAGCTAACTCTATCCAACCAGAATTTCTCCAAGCTATCTACTAAGTATTTAGTCCTTATCAAGTTCTACAGAAGGTGGGATCAGTGGCTTATAAGTTATCCTTACCTTTTCATGTGGCTATCCATCCCACTTTCCATGTGTTACAACTCAAGCTTTGCCATGAGCTACCAGAAACTTTCAACCACCCTCCAATAGTGGACATTGCTAGTCCTTATTGTGTAGAACCTCAGGAGATATTGGAAAGAAGAATGATCAAAAAGGGGAACAAGGTTGTTGCTCAATTGCTAAGGAGCAGGCCACATGGGAAGATTATCATGTGCTGAAGACCACGTTTCCAACTTTCTTCCTTGAGGACAAGGAAGGTTTCAAGAGGGGAGAAATGATGCAGAATCAAGCTGAGAATTAAAAAGGTGGCTGATCGCGGTTGGACTCCAGGCTATAGTAGCAGTACCCAGCCGTTAGTTATTTAGTTAAATAGAAGTTCTGTTAAGTTACGGTTGAGTCCACTATGGTTTTAAGTAGAAGTTTCTGTATTTATACATTTCGCACGTTAATTTCCTCAAATGTCACCATCTAGTCCATGGTCGGATTTGTCTTATAGACTTATACTAAATCCTTATCCATTTTGCTTTCTGGATGATTCAGCTAGAGTTAGAGAGGGTGTAAATTGTTGTAACTATTATCCTCTTTACTCTTTTATCAATCAAATTATCTTTTAGCCGTAACCTAGTTAGCTTAGTTGGTCTTCTTCTTGGTTTTTCTGTTCCATTCGTCTCCTCGACTTCATTCTGCAACATTCTCCTAAAAATGGACTTTATGTCAAATTACTCAAGTTTTTCTGTGTTGGAAGTCAGAGCTCTGGTTCTAAAATACATTGTTCCTGTTTGGCCATAAATATTAGAGTTTTTTTTTTTTTTTAAAAAAAAAAATATTGTTTGATTATGAAATATGATTAGTTTTTGAAAAAAATTGATAAAAATTTCAAGTTCCCAAAAACTTATTTAGAATAATTTTTCAGTGAATTTTTTTCTTTCACTTATAAAACTTTATTTTTTTTTTCAAATAAAATGCGTGTCCAAACACAATTTCAACTTTCAAAAATTATTTTTCTAACACAATTTCAAAAATTTATTTTTTAAGTTTCAACCAAATTTATGAACAAGCTTTGTTTCGGACCTTTCCCTCAAGTAGCCCGATGCACAAAACATTCCTTATTATAAATTGAACTTACGCCTCAAACTTCTCCAAATTTCCTTTTTATGCCAATAAAGTTTTCTGAATAACTCAAAACACACTTAATTTTCCTGCTATACGAGCAGTCAAATCACGAGCGTGTCAAGATGTCGTTGGATATTCACATTATCTTACTATGGAACAGCAATTACGTTTCAAAGATTCAGAAGCAAGGACAAGCAAGGACTTAATTCGGCTAATTCTTTTCTGTTTCAATTCATTTTCAATTTTTCCTTTTTCATTTTTCCTTATTATACAAACCTTTTTTCTCTCTCTTTCTCTCACACACAGTAAACCCTCAAAAACTCAGCTTTCGTGAGTAGCTCTAAAAGGTACAATCTTTTTCTCTAATTCTTCCGTTTTCTTGAATTGCTCCTCAGAATACTATCTGGGCATATGCTTCTTGTGCTAATCTTGAATTTTTCATGCTGTTTTCGTGATTCTATAGATTCACATGCTTAGATTTGTTAGTCTATGCCCATTAGGGTTTTTGGAGTTATTGTCTTTAGGGTGATTCTTGTAAAGTTGAAAAATTTCTGCTTTTCTTGTACCCAGATTCTGTAACTATGGATGAGCAAGAAGGGGTAAGTAGAGTCACTAGTGTTTCAGAGCCCACTGTGGGTAATACTGTTGATGAAACCCTAGTAGAGAATTTGCGATGTGAGGGGCAGGCTTATAGTGAGGGGGATGGTGGGGAGATAATGGTGGAGGTTGTAGGCACTGATGTGTTTGTTGATGGGGTTTGTGGTCATGGTGCTGAATTGGGGCATGAGGGATCGGGAAAAGGAGCCGACCCTTATAGGGATTCTCTGTCAAGGGATGCTGAGGACTCATCTGGGAATACTGGAAATGGTGTTGAAGGTGTACTTTATGTTGAAGGGTCATCTGGGGATGTTTTTGTGACATCTAGCGCTGAAATTGTTCCGAGTGTAACAGCTTGTACAGTTGTACAGCAAGTCAGCTTCAGTGATGCTGAGGGTAATGTTGTCAGGAGCACTGAATCTGTTGGTTTGACTTCACCTGATGTTGCGGGGGATGTTTCCAAGACAGTGGACAATGAGGCTGTGAGTGAAACAGCTGATAGAGTTTTGGAGCAAGTCAACATCAGAGTTAATGAGGAGGGGAATGTTGTGGGAAGCTCTGTATCTGTTAAAGGGAGTGCTGATTTGACACTGCAAAGAGTGGGTCTTTCTGGTGATGGGGTGTGGAATCCTGGAATTGAACCTCTGGCTGGATCTTCTTCATTTGTGCCACAAGACAGTTCTAATATTAAGGCTAGCAATCTGAGATTGGATTCTTCTGAAAAAAATGAAACTTCAGTCACAGAGATAGTTGGCCAGGCTAGTGACAAAGATGTTGCCAATCATGCAAGGGATCAGATATCAGATCATCCAGCTGAAAGAGTTGTGTCAGGGGATGGTGAGTTGGTAGAAAAAATGCATTCAGAGGTTGAAACCATGGAATCCGAAATCCCTGATCAAGAGAAAGATGACTTGAGCAACAAGGATGAGAATTCACATACTGATGTTGAAACAATGGAAACCGATGTCCATGATCAAGAGAAAGATAACTTGAGCAACAAGGATGAGAATTCACATACTGATATTGAACCCATGGAAACTGATGTGTATGATCAAGATGGTGGGTTCCCTAACAAGGATAATAATAGCAATTCTGTTGATGACACAGTTTCTTTGAGACCAAACAGTCCAATCCCTGAAGATAAGGGAGGGGATATCAAGGTAGTTAGTGGCGATTCAAGAATATTAGTTGACCACACCCCAGTTGTACATGATCACTCCTTAGGCATCAATGGTAACACTGCGCCATCGTACCCTGGGAAGCAAGAACATAGCTTGAAGGAAAATTTGGCAGCAGAGAATGGGGCTATTGGTTCTTCTTATGAAAAAGCAAACCATGCCGAGGTTCGGGTATTTAAGGTTGATGCCATGCATGAAGATATAAGCGATCTTGCTTTATGTACACAACCAGAAGCTTCTCATTTGGAAGCCCAAACTGGCAATCTTAAAGAGGTGTTTATGGATGGTAGTGAGGTCTCAATTTTAAAGATACCAGTATCCAGTGATAAAGATGGGATCTTAAGTGGTTCAGACGAGTTTCCAGATATACAGCCTAAGGTTGCGGATGGAGTTAGTGAAATTTCTAGTGATGATCTCCCACTGTCTTCTGAACAGGCGAGTGCTCATGATACAGGAAACTTTGAGGAGATGGAAGTCGAGGGGGTTCATCACGAGACAACTGGCACTATGACCTTTCCCATGAATGATGAGAGTCTGAATGTAGTGACGGTTGATGCCAGGTTGGATAATGACGCGGGAATTGGACACTTGGAAACCTCTCATGAACCAGCTTGCAGAACTGATGGAGATAGTGTTGAAATGGACAGGGATGGGGATGCCCAGCTTGGAACTGCCACAACAAGCTTAAGTTGCACTGTGGATAAAAATATTTTAACAGCTGAAACAACAGTGTCTCTTGAGACTATGGCTAGCCCAGGAGAGAAGAACACGATGGATGAAACAAACAGAGTAACCCACTTCCTGCCGGAAGGCTTGGACGGGGACATGTCGCTGCAGCGTGTTGAGAACGAGAGCTTATTGCCTTTTGATGACTATGCAGGAAAAGAAGACGATCCCAAGATGAGTGCAGTGTCATCTAACGATGATGTTATGACTGAAACTTCATTACTTCAGGATACTGACAAAACTTCAGATTCTGATGTTGTTAATGGGAAGTCGCCTCTTTTACTGGAAGATAATGACTTAAAGGTCGAGGCTGAACAGAAAGTGGAGACTAAGGACACTGCTCTTAGAGAGGATCCTACTCAAGCTCATGATTTGGCTCACGATACAAAAGGTGTTATTACAGGAAAGCATTCGGATATTACCAAAGAATTTGAATCCACTGCGAATCAAGAGGGTGTAGTGGAGCATGATCATATGCTTGCTCTTGAGATGGATCATGAGGCTGGGAATGCAGCAACTGCTGATAAAATGTCAATTGAAGAAAACAACTTTAATGTAGAGGGTGCTATAAAATCTCAAGCTGTAACAAATTCTGGTGCTGATGTCCCTCCTCCAGTTGGAGATCAAATTGTAGAAACTTGTATTTCTCATACTAGCAATGCCGAGACGTATCAAGCCAATGAGTACCAGGATTCCTCGAACGCAAATGAGGGTCTTGTTTCCCGTGCGCATGCTGTAGAAATGAAGGTTGCCGATGAACAAGAGAAAGATGAAGTTGAAAAGCTTCATGCTGATACTGTGCAGGAATCTTCAGAGCAAGACAAAGGAACTGAAGAAGTTGCTTCCGAGTCTAGCCACACTGTGATGTTGAATGAGAAGCCTGTGAGCTTGTTGAAAATGCAACCTGGTTATCTCATTCCACCACAAACTGATGACGATGAGTACTCTATATCTGATTTAGTCTGGGGAAAAGTCAGAAGCCATCCATGGTGGCCTGGACAGATATTTGATCCTTCCGATGCTTCAGAAAAGGCCATCAAGTACCACAAGAAAGACAGCTTTTTGGTTGCGTATTTTGGAGATCGTACTTTTGCATGGAATGATGCATCTGTGTTGAGGCCATTCTGTTCTCATTTCTCCCAAATTGAGAAGCAAAGTAATTCAGAAACATTTCAAAATGCTATAAGCTGTGCTTTGGAAGAGGTTTCTAGACGGGTTGAGCTTGGTCTTGCTTGCTCATGCACACCTGAAGATTCCTATGATGAGATTTCATGTCAGATTGTGGAGAATACTGGGATTCGTGAAGAATCAAGCAAAAGATATGGAGTGGACAAATCAACTGGAGTCACTTCCTTTGGACCTGATAAGCTCATGCACTATATGAAAGCGTTAGCCCTATCACCAACTTGTCGGGCTGATAGGTTGGATCTCACTATTGCTCGAGCTCAGCTAGGGGCCTTTTGTCGCTTCAAAGGATATCGTCTGCCACCCAAATTCTTGTTAAGTGGAGAATTGCTGGAAAACGATGCTGAAGTTCCACAGGGGGACGGTGCAACTGACGAAAAGGGCCATGCTTCAGAAGACAACGAGCAACATCCCACCAGTAAAGTCTCTGCTCACAAACGTAAGCATGGTTCAAAAGATATTTCACAGACGAAAAAGAAAGAGCGAAGCATGTCAGAGCTGATGGTTGATGTGGAATGTGAGTATTCTCTAGATTGTGAAGATGATCAAGATGGAAAAACATTCACTTCTAGCAAAAAGAGGAAGGCTGTTGATTCTCTTACTGATGGATCGGACAAGAGACCAAGTGTTTATGCAGCTAAAGTGTCAACCACAGCATCTGTATCCCCTAAGCCGTCCTTCCGTATTGGTGAATGCATTCAAAGAGCGGCAAGCCAATTAACTCGTTCAGCCTCACTTCTGAAGTGCAACAGTGATCAAACTGGGGCTGATGTTCAATTGCAGGACTCGCCAAAGGGAAAGGTTGTGATTCCGACTGAATTGCCTTCCCCAAATGATTTGCTCTCACAACTTCAGTTGGTGGCATGGGCTCCACTGAAAGGCTACAACTTCTTAAAAACCATCACTTCTTTCTTTTCGGGATTTAGAAATTCAGTTGCTTTGAGCCAGCATTCTCGGAGGCAGAATTCATCAGCCGGAAGACCTAGCGGTGGTCGAAAGAGGAAAGCTTCACAAACTGCAGCTGGGCTTGCTGAAGAATTTGAATTCGATGATGTAAATGATTCTTATTGGACAGACAGGATTGTACAAAACTATGGTGAGGAGCAGCTACTGCAGAATGGTCAGAGTGGGGAAGGAGACCGTCAGCTTACGGTTCATGATCCAGAGAAACCCAATAAACCAGGTCGTAGACCATACTCTAGAAAACGAAAATCCAGTGCGGATGATGATACGACGCCAGGTGTTCCTCCGGAGGACATTGAGAAGAGGAAGCATGAGCCAGCAGAACTCATATTAAACTTTGCAGAAGGTGGTCCTCTTCCATCTGAAATGAACCTTAATAAAATGTTTAGGCGGTTTGGTCCACTGAAGGAGTTAGAAACTGAAGTTTATCAGGAGTCTTCTCGTGCTAGGGTGGTCTTTAAAAGGGGTTCTGACGCAGAGGTTGCTCATAGTAGTGCCGGAAAGTTCAACATCTTTGGGTCACGGCAAGTGACTTATGAGCTCAGCTACACCCCAGTTATCTCATTTAAGCCGATGCTCATTACACTTACACCAGATCTGGAGGGAGCTATTTGATGATACAGTTCCAAGATGATGGTAGTTCCAGGTAGCTATTTGCTCATTATAGATGCACTCTTGAAAAGCTATACATTCGAATGCTGATCTTTGGGTCAAAATTGGCATAATCTGGCAAGTAACAACCCTTATTTTTGTGGCCTTCACTCCTCTCCCCTTCCCCAAAGGAGTTTCCATGTGTTCTCTATACGTACCCTTTCATGAGAAATTCTGAAGAATTCCTAAAATTTTCGCTCTTCAAAAAAAATTAGTCGTGCCCATATGAAGGCAAAGTCTTTCCACTATCTAAATTACTCCCTCTCGATCTCCCAGATATGGTATTTTCTGAAGTTCTCAAGGCTATCTTGCTGGAAAAATTTTAAGCAATATTTTGCTAGTGAAGAACTTCACCATTATAATTTCCAGGGGTCGAGTTCAAATTTTAACTACATTTGATGATTGGAAAAGAATCAGTCCCTTTAGTTCATTGTGTTTGTTATGTTGCTGCTTGATTCTTGTATGTTGGATGTTATCTGTCTTCGTTTTCGGCACAACAGTCTTTGCTCGGGAACTTTTTTTTTTTTTTTTTTTTTTTTTTTCTGACTACTATTCTGCTTTGTATTGTAGTTTGAAGAAAAAATGACTATGCAGCGACGGCCAACAGTAACACTTTGATTAGAGTGGGTTTGCTGGAGTAGAGGGTGACCAGAGACACAGATGCATCTTTTTGTATAAAAGACCTCATTTCTGTCTTATGTACTTTCTTATCTCTTTGTATTGGCGAAAAGAAGAGTTGTCCCTCCTGCATTAGAAATGATAAGTGCATGATGCATCGATATCGTGCTGTGTTCATGCTTATGATCATCTTCCCAGTTTCCTCTTGATTTTTCTGGATGAATGAAGATGAAATTTTTGTCTGAGCCTCGGATGATGCAAGTATAGAAATTTGTCCACAAACACTTCGGGATGTTGTTGAAACTTAAATGGCAATTAAGTTAGACAAGTGTAGTCGGCTTAAGAGATTGTCAAGCTTAAAAAATAAGAAGTGAAGACTCCTTTAGCTCATTTTCTGGTTAGGTGCCAATTTCCTTATCAGGAACATTTTGATACACACTAACTTGTGAGACATGGTAAACAAGAATTGTGCAAGAAATTGACCAGGGCATGTCCAGTTGCTAGGTGGGATTAGTTTCTTTGTAGCCAGCCCTTATGTTTCAATTTGCATGAGTCTACTTTGGGTTTATAAATTATTAACGTCATGATGATATAAATATAAATGAAACTATTAGGCATATATATATCCATTGGGCTCTATCAGTCACTGCTGAGTTTAAGGTGAAGCTCAAACTTGCATACACGTATTCTGATTGTTTTCTGGCAAAAAGATTGCAGAAAGATAACACCATAGGTCAAAATTCAAAAAGTTTTGTCCTATTAAAGATTTGCCCATGGGACAAGCGGGTCAAAAGTTCAAGACTACCTAATATCAGGGCCGTTCTGATAAATCACCTGAGCGACCAACTTATGCCTGTTTCAACTTTACCTGTGATTCATTCGCAGCTCAACGAATTAGTAACTATTAGCCGTTGACCAAAAAAAAAAGTAACTATTAGCCCAGTTTAGACTTAGTTCAGAACAGTCTTTAATAAATAGTACTAATGATTGATAATTTCGAGCACCGACCAACCTTAGAGTTTTCATTTTTCACTTTCTCAACTTTAATTAAGTACTAATGAATGATAATTTTGTACACTCTGGACAGTTTCTTTACAAAAAGAGTGCAACGACAATGAATTTGAAAAGTGAGGGGAAAAAGGGAAAAGGAGATCGTCCCACACACATTCAATCGGTTGGGGTGTCATTTATAGAAACTTACAGAATTTCGGCCTACATAACCAAGTTTCTTGGTCGTTTGGTTAGATCCAAGGATTGCTGGATAATGATCCCACATTCGATGTGAGATAAATAATATCGAAATTTTGATGTAAAATTTATATCGATAGCAGTTATACGCATAACCAAACATTGAATAAATATAATTTCAAATCTTATACCGAGATTAGTATCCTAATCTCCTTAACCAAACATCTCTTAAGGTTTTGAGTTAGATTGTTCAAATTATGCTTAAAATGCATTGAAATTCATGTATGTTACAAGTAACTACATATGTTACTCCTGATGCGGAAAATGTTCAAATATGCCCCCGAACTATTGAAAATAGAGCAATTATGTCCTCCGTTTGCATTTGGGTACAAAATTGTCCCTGCCGTTAATAAAGTGGTTCACTTTTGCCCCTTCCCACTAACATACTCCACATCAAGGACAATTTTGTATCCAAATACAAACGGAGGGCATAATTGCTCTATTTTCAATAGTTCAGAGGCATATTTGACCATTTTTCGTATAAAATAATATTTTTTTTGCTGAGTTGAAAATCCATATTGGAGAAAAAGTATATAAAAAAAAGAGGGAACAGAATGTCTTGCCATATCTTTTACGTAGTAATTACTACAATGACGAGAAATCTCACCGGAAAATTCCTCCGGCCAGCTGATCACAACCTCCTGCTTCACTTTTTTTGCTTATTATTTTCTTACTGGATCAAATTCGTGTGATTTGATTTTTATATTCTTTGAACTCCTAAGTCCTAGAGGGACTCGAATCCGGATCTGCTCAAAGGATACAATGCCATTGTTCATCATTGATGTATCCGTAATAAAATGACCTATTACATTGTAATATCAATTCTTAATGCAAAATCTTATTATTAGAGTACCAAGTAATTAATGGTGAAATTTTTTTCGTTTCGTCTTCCTATTGTAATTTGCAACCACATATCGATACATCCATAAGTTACTATCACAAATTCCACTTTTACATTTCTCTGATGTGGGTATTTGGGTATAAAATTGTGCCCTCCTTTTGTACCCAAATGCAAACGGAGGGCATAAATGCTCTATTTTAATAGTTTAGGGGCATATTTGGACCTTTTCAGTTCAGCAAAAAAGTATTATTTTATACGAAAAAGGATCAAATATGTCCCTGAACTATTGAAAATAGAGCAATTATGCCTTCCATTTGTATTTGGGTACAAAATTATCCTTGATGCGGAGTCTGTTAGTGGGGAGGGGCAAAAGTGAACCACTTTATTAACGGCAAGGGCAATTTTGTACCCAAATATAAACTGAGGGCATAATTGCTCTATTTTTAATAGTTCAGGGGCATATTTGACCCTTTTCCGTTTCTGATATATAAGGATAACAATAATTCCAAGTAAGTTGGGTTGGATGTATGGATTTTTATTATACATGTTAATTCATTTAATCCTGTCCCAATTCAATATTATTAAAAAAAGGTTTTAAATGTTCTCTATATCAGTGTTTTAAAAGGCGTGAGCGTAAGACGAGGCGTTTTACATATGCCTCAGCAAGGCGTAAGCTCCNTATATATATATACATACGCTACTTACAAGCACAAGTAACTTGAGTCGAAGAGAATAAAGTTTTCTACGTGGAGGAACAAAAAGGATGACTAACCTGCAATTTAAACTTTGAACTTGGTGCTATAAAGGAGAATGTAGTTCTCTTTGTATTTGTAAAAAAGATATAGACTATTAAGTTGCTTTTGGGAGATAATAACAGACTAACGGACAAGATAAAGAATTGAAAAAGACCATAGATTAAGGCTTCAATAAAAAAAAAAAAGGTCTTGACTTTTAAATTTAATACATTTAAGTTCCTTTTTAAAGTTTTTGAGTAATTACAAGTTGACTTTTGAGAATTTGGGTATTATATGAAGGACTTATTCAACAAATTTTGTTTTAATTTGAAAAAGTCTCTGGGGCTTGTGCCTCACTACAAAAACGCGCCTCAAACGCCCGGACGTATGCCCTGAATTGCCGGGCGTATACCTCTTGAGACTTTCGCCCCACACCATCGCCTCGGGGCATTTTTGGTGCGCCTCTCCCCAGGGCTAGCTCCAGGGCTCGCCCCGAAAACGTCTTTTAAAACACTGCTCTACATTTTCTGTTAGCATATAAATTTCTAACTATATTAAAAGACTTCTAACAAAAATAAATAGCTAAAATGACTAAACTTAATCCCAATTAATTGGAAATATTTATATCGATCTTTGTTTGTTAGGCAAAATACATAAAGACCCCATTAAACTTGTTCAAAAAATAGGTTTGAACACTTAAACTAAACGGGTATTCTTTTACCCCCTTAAATGTATTTGGAGTGAATTTTATTCCACCCAAATAGCTGATGTGGCAAAAAAATAAAAATAAAAAAATAATTAAACGTGTAAAAGGTGGGCCCCTTTCTTTTCTATTCTTCAGATCTCTTCAACTACCCCGTTCTTTCTCCTTCTCCCCCTTTCTTATTCAGATCTGAGTTCCTTTACTTTCTTCTTCTTCTTCTTCTTCTTCTTCTTCTTCTTCTTCTTCTTCTTCTTCTTTTTTTTACTTCTTTTCTTTAATAAGTTTAACCAATTTTTTTGAATTAATACCCAGATCTACTAATCTGTAAGACAAATATGGGAACTAATCTTCAAGAATCTAGAATTTGATTTATCAAATTAACGAAGCAAATTGAGGAAAAATAATTTCTATTTGCAACATATGATTTGCTTCGTTTTTTCAACAAGATTGCCGTAAAGTAGCATATAATTTGTGATTTAACATTATTACACTCAACTCAGGAAGATTGTCAATTTACCCCAAAATAAAGTTTTAAGCCATCAGTCTCCTTCGACCGCAGTGGCATCTGCCCAATTGGCAGCAATTTCTCGGCGTGGAATGCTATGGAGTTTGGTGTACAAATTCACCTGCAGGTATTGCGATTAATTTGTTGAAGAAATATGAATATATTAGGATTTTGTTATATCTAAATTCTTACTCATTTGATTGAAGAGAGATGGTTAAATCTAGCACTGAACTTGGTATTATTATTGAAGCATTTTAATAGTTAATTAGGATTATTAGTGTAAAATTATGAGTAAGAAAAAAGAAAAAGAAAAAGAAAAAGAGGAAAGTTTTCCAAAGAAAAAAGACAGACTTCTTTCCTTTTAGGCATAATACACCAATGCAACCTTGTTTAATTCCATTTTTAGGATAGAAAAAATGCCGAGGAATGGAGGTGAAGTTCAATGATTTCGTTGTGCAAAAAGAACAGTGATATTCAAAATTTCAACAACTATAGGGGTATCAAGTTACTAAGTCACACTATGAAATTTTGGGAGAGGATGGTAGATATGAGAGTACGGAGGGCCGTGTCTATTTTCGAGAACCAGTTTGAATTCATGTCGGAGTGGTCGACTACAGAATCAATTTATCTTATTAGGAGATTAGTGGAACGGTATATGGAGAGGAAGAAGGACTTACATATGGTGTTCATCGATCTAGAAAAGACATACAACAAAGTCCCAAGGGAGGTTCTATGGAGATGCTTGGAGGCTAGAGGTATACCTGTCGTCGCATACACTAGGTCGATTAAGGGCATGTATGTTGGAGCCAAGACCTAGATAAGGACAATGGAAGGGGACTCGGGACACTTTTCAGTAAAGATGGAGTTGAATAAAGGATTAGCTAGCTCTTAGCCCGTTCATATTTGCCTTGGTGATAGATGAGTTGATGTGACACATTCAAGAGGAGATACTTTGGTGCATGTTATTTGCATATAACATAATACTAATTGACGAGACGTGAGGTGGTGTTAATGCTAGGTTGGAGATCTCTGGAGGTAGACCCTGGAGTTTAAAAGTTTCAAGTTGAGTAGGACTAAAATAGAATACATAGAGTGCAAGTTTAATGATGCGACTCGGGAGCTGACATTAAAGTGAGGCTGGACACACAAGTCATACCCAAAAGAGAAAGTTTTAAGTATCATGGATCTATAATCCAATGTATTTGCGATATTGG